CCTCTAAATAAAAATTGAAAACTTCAAGTAAATTAGACATACACTATAAGATCTAATAGCTATTTCATGGTTAGACGTCATAATTGATCTCTGCCCATGTTTACTTTAACTTACAATGCATGTCTAATTAATATAGAACTGATATATAAATTATGTCTCCTGAATTTTTATCTCAGCGCCACAGTCGCTTCTTGTTAGAACAGCATGCAAATCATTTCCAAACAGAAGCCAACATAACTTCCTTCTCGTTTCAAAATAGACTGATATATAGCACCTGTAAATGTTGTTGTAATTGAAGATCGCTACAATTTTAAGTTTTTAGGCTTCAATTCGTCAATATTCTAGTGTAAGTACAACGTCTGGAGAACCAATTCAATATTTCAGCCACAATACAAAAAATTTAATTCGACACTGTTTCTAAAGAAATCTAGAAGTTCATTAAGACATTCCAATAGGAAAAAAGGTTCACTTGACGATATTTGGTAAATTGATACGAACCGTAACGATATACTCGTGTTCAATTCCAAGAGAACGGGTTATCGAGTCACCGCGCCGTACATTCATTCACTTTCTTGAGGTCTTTCCGTGCGGATTTTACTTAGGTAATTTCCTGTCATTTGATTCACTTACAAGTAAACACTATTTCAGTTTCTTTGTTTCATAATTATTGCACAGACCGCACCCAACATGACCGCGGAAGAAAAGTAAAGAAGACACGAGATCAACACACAACACCGGCTTACGACTCACCCCATCAACCAATCCATGTTTCTGGAGAGCTGAACGGGCAGTTTTATATAGCTCACACATTTGAAGAGTCTTCCAGCCAGATGCTTTCACTATATCGCTTTCAACAGTGAGTTAAATGGCTGTAAGACTGCGCAAACTTTTTGTTTGGAAAGGGAAAATTTTCAGAGAAATTTCACGTCGAGTACACTGGGAACCAGGCTCTTGGCTATAAATTGAAGAGGTTTTCCGCTGGCTCGTGAGGTGGTGCAGAGTGAGCAAAACTTCCGCAGAAGTTGAGTCGAGAGGTGAAGCAGTTTTCAATTTTTTTAAGGGTTTTCGGGTGAACTGAGTTACTTCTAATAGTAATTTCTCGTATCTTGCCCAAATTTCAGGCCTGAAGGTATAATTGCCTGGGAAGCGGAGGGTTGGAAAGCCAGTGTATTGGATGAAGTAGCCCACGTGTCCAGGTGAGGCAACAGCATTCATATTAATTTTTGAACAACGAACTTCATGTGAGTGATAAAGTTTTCTTCAACTCTACCAAATTTATGATATCTTGAGACTACTGCACCTTCATAGCAGCTAAATATTCTGCTTAGGTTCTCATATATTTAGGGGAAACTCATCGGTACTTGAAGCTTTAATCTTATCGCCAAAGCTCATTTCGGTTCATTAGCAGGACTTAATTTTAATACACCGCTTACAATACTTCAAGCCAGGCTTCGCTGCATGTTGAAACTTGTTTCTACAGCTTTTGGGTGTGTTTAACACTCCAACCTTTCTTTATTGTTACTTAATTAATCTCCTTTTTGTGCTTTCGATTCTTGTATTTAGTTACTTGCTCGGTTAAGCGTGTGCATGTCGCAGTTACAAAATATAAATCGGCATTCTTGCAGAATGTCAGTGATATGTCAAAGGAGACGCTTCCCCGCTGTCCCAGTTACCCTGAAAACATGAAGAAAAAACAGTTATCCCTTCTTCACTTTCATAAATTGTAGCTGGACGTGCTAATTAAAACGTCAATTGTTTAAATTCGTACACTTGCTTCATATTTGAAAGGGTCCCACATAACCATCCTGTTTTGTTGATGCTACACTACTCCAGTTCAGTGAAGTGCTTGGAGGAAGCTGGTAAGCTGGGATTGTTATGACTTTTTTTTTTTTTTACCACAGGGATTCCACTAGGAAATTGGGTCAACAGAGTGAAAGTACTTGACTTGACTTGTTTTTAATGGGGGAGCTTGTCAGATTGAGCTTTTTTGGTGGACAATGAACATTCTGCCAAGGCTAGGACTTTGTCCTGGTTTCATGTTCACACCACATTCATTCCCACTAGCTGTCACATGCAAATTTAAAGGTCAAATCAGTGTTAAATGTAACAGGAAGTGGTTTAGACAAAAGAAGTTATTATTATGTAATTGTTCTGATTAGCTGTAATCATAATTGGTAGACACTGTTTTCTGTATATTTTCTGACACAAGGCCTATTTTCAGCATTTTCTTTGGAAATTTAATTGCTTTAACGATTAAGTGAATAATTTGCTTAAAATTTCCTGTTGAAAATTGTACATCTTTGATTGATTGTCCTGGTCTTCACTGATGTCCTGTTGTTAGCTTCACATGTTAGCTACATGCTCCTTCTTTCTAACCATGTCATTATTGTCTGCATGTCCCTAACTCCTGTCTTCAATTTCTCATGCAATTTGAATAGTTTCTAGTTTAATTTAAGAGTAGGTCCTTTCTTACAAAACATTGAGAACTACTTCATTTTAAGACTGGCTTGAGATTATTTTTCTTTTCACTCTGGTCCTCTGCCATATATGATAGTATTTTTGCAGGAGATTCTAATTATTGTTGTCCTAAATTGTGGACTGATGAGTGGTGTAAACATGTATCCCCTCATTTAGCTATATATAGATTGTATTATGTAATCCATAGTTCAAAGCAGGAAAAATTTGTTCTTTAATAGAGATTGTGTTGTACAATCAAATTTCATCGTATTATAGTTCAAAGCTTGAAGCTGTTGCCCTTTACATCTCAAGAGTTGGCTAGTGAAGGCTGAAAAAGAGATTTAGACAGCAGATTAAGTACCTTCCTGGTTATCAGAACCTGTTTCCTACTCTCTGCTGGATACCACATTCCAGCCAGACATTGTCTTTATAAAGACTCAGTTTTCATGCTCAATACAGGTTTGCTAACTCTGGTGCTATAAATTGCTTTCAGTGTCCGAAGGGAGCATTATCAGGGAAGAGGTTGTGCTGTGAACACGTCTTAAGTTGTTGCAGAACGCTTTGAAGCCAGAATGTCAGAAGCAAAGGACCTGTTGTCTATTAGTGACTTCTATGCACAGAAAACAGTATTTATCACAGGGGCTACTGGATTTCTTGGTAAAGTTGTGATAGAAAAACTTCTGAGGGCATGTCCTCGTGTTAAAAAGATTTATCTCCTGGCCAGAAGCCGACGTGGTGTTAGCCCCCAACAAAGAATTGATGATCTGTTAGATGGAATGGTGAGTTTTTTTACTTTTCTGTCTTTCAAATGTATTTACATGTATGATATTGACTTAAAAGTAGGTTTTTTAAGAGATTCAATCTAGAGCCACTATCAAAAGTTTGATGCTGATAAAATTTTAATGGAGAAATCATTTAATGTTTTCACTAAAACCGCATTTTTCACCACTCTCAAATGTATTGTGATAATGAATTCCAGTACTTATCATGTGCAGATGTTCTAGCAGCTTTTCCTAATTTTAAGGCTTTTTTATCTCATTTTATGTTAGAAACTGTGATGTAAGTTGCTAGATAACTATGAAGTAACTATGTATCTGTTGTGCAGAGATGAAGTACTGTCAAAAGAGGATAGAAAATAGTAAATGAGAGGACCTTTTGCTTCTAAGCCTTAAGTTGTAACTGGGAAATTCTGTATATTTTCGAAATAATCCTCCAGTCTCCATTAGCCAATGATTATGTAACTATCAATAGTTACAATTCTGTACTGATACACATAGTTTGTTTTTGAGATATATTTCTAACAGCAAAAGTTGTAAAAAATTGTATTTAAGTTGACAACAAATTGTAAATTTGTATTTCCTTAATAGCTCTATGACACAGTTAGAGACATGGGAGGTGACTGGAGAAATAAACTTGTGCCCATCAAGGGTGACATTGCAGAAGATAAACTTGGAATGTCAGATGAGGATTGGAAAATGCTTCAAGAAAATGTTGAAATTGTATTCCACTCTGCAGCAACAGTCAGATTTGATGAAGATCTAAAGTAAGCTTTATAGATAATATTAGTACTTGAAACAACCAAGCTCACTAATTACCTGCTTTCATTTTTTTTTTAATTCTGCTGCTTGACAAGAGCCCAATTTTAATACTGACTTCAACATGCAGCTTTGTGAAGAATTCGAAACAAAATGCTGGGCAAATTTTGCCCCCTTTCAATTTTGCAGTTAGGTATCTGTATATAACTGTCTCTGTTGTCTTTCCATAGGGATGCAATGACTTTAAATTTGTATGGAACTCAAAATGTCATCGGGTTGTGCCGTGGAATGAAACGGCTTGAGGTAAGAAGTTTTAGGTATTTTCAAGGGGTAGGATGGTGGTCTTTAAAATGGATTGCATGGAAAATAAAAACAGAAAAACTAGAATGAGGCTAACTGTCAAATGCTTTTAAGGGTACTGTCAAAGCAAAGCAAAAAGTATATTAGGTGAATGATGTTTTTCTTTATGCTCTTTTAGTCTGCACAATTTCTTAATAAGTTGATACCCATCTGTCAGATAACATCTGTCAGAATGTGTGAGGGATATTTTGTCTGATCCAACCCTGGGGGCTTTAATTAGATATTGGTACAATTTGTTTGACTGAGAACAGACAAAAGAGGAAATGGTTCTTGTGAAGACTGACATACACCTAAATATGTAACCATGTTTTTTTTTTTTCCCTTTTTTTTTCCATATTAATCTTGGCCTGTAAGTTTTGAATTTGAGTGAAATATATCTTGATAACCTGAGTTGATGTAGCACTGAATAAGATATACCTTAAAGTCTGGTACTAGTGGAACACAGACAATAAACTATCTAGGGCCTTTTATTTGAATGGCAACAACAAGGCCAGTTATTAGGGTCTTTTATGGTTCAAATTGGACAGGTGACAGGTGAAGGGCTGTTTCTTACTAATATCAAGATTTAGTCTGTATCTGCTTAGTATAGATTCTTCAGTCCATTTTTAGATATTAAGTGAAATTCTCCCAATTCAGGTGTGTAGCCTTAACAATGCACTCACATGCATGTAGTTTAATCACTTGATCCTGTTACACCTTCCTCTCCACAAAAAGCATATTGATTAAAAAGTTTGTCTTAATATTTTAGGAGTCTTGTTAGAACCATCATAAGATTGCAGTTAACAGTGTACATGGAGATGTAATCATAAAGTTTGCATTCATGAATTTGAGTTGTAATGATACACTCCATATACAAATATCTCTTATTTACCTTTTCCTGATTTTTTTTTCTTCAGGTCTTGGTTCATGTTTCCACAGCATATGCTAACTGTGACAGAGAAGTCATTGAAGAAAGAATCTACTCTCCTTCAGTAGATCCTGACAAGCTTTCCTCCTCTATTGGGCAAGTGATAGATTTTCACTTCATTTTCAGATGTTTATGTAGTGCACGATGTATATTTAAAGTTGTTTCACACCCACAAACACATGCATGCTGAACAAAGACATTCATAGTAAAGGTTGCTTACTTGTGCTAAGCCATCAGGAAAAGTAACTGTTTTGATACAATTCTTTTTTTATTCAAAACAGGTGGATGAATGATGACATGGTGAATTCTCTCACACCACATTTGATTGGCAAGCGACCCAACACATACACTTTCACCAAAAGTCTGGCGGAGCATGTCTTACTGAAAGAGGCTGACAACATCCCAATAGCAATTTTCAGACCTTCAATCATTGGTGCAGCTTGGAAAGAACCCTTGGAAGTAAGTTCATATTTTTTGTGTTAACCACTTATCATCAAAACTACTGTCAAGTACTTGAGCTGTGTGTAAAGACACATTGCTATGTATTTGTCATTTAAGAAGTTAATTTGCTTACATAGTCATGCAGAAGTTTAGATGAAACAGGTCAAACACAGACCCTCCATAAGTAATAAAAGAATATTTGATTTGCAAATTATTTTGTTGCTGCGATGTTTGTGCGAGTCAAGGATCTGGAACCAGTCCAGATAGTGTAATTCTTTGTACTTATGATAATGATGCACAATTTCCCTCACAGCTAACATACCTGCATTTAATCATTATTATCTTTTTTATTTTTTCAGGGTTGGATTGACAATTTCAATGGACCTAGTGGTCTGTTTGTTGCTGTGAGTCCTTTTTACCTCTTTTCCGACATTTTACATTAACCTCAATTCCCAGAGAAGTGCCTGTTACACTGTGCAACACCATAAACCATAGAATAGAATTTTAATGACACATACAGTATGCCATACCAGTTTTTTATCCAAAGGCTTTTTTAATAATGCAAATAATTTCAAATAATCTCTTCCTTAACGGATGTAGTTTGTCAGGACAGTTAAAGTTAATTGTGAGGAAATGTTTTATCCACACACTTAAGTTTAGCTTCTTTTTAAATCTTGTATTTTTCAAAGCAATCACTATACATCATCAAGTACTTACAAAATGTAAATTTAAAATGAAACATATATATATATATATTCCCTTAGCTCCGGTTGGAGCATAGGCCATTAACCACTTCCGTCCTCCATCGGGTTCTGTCCTGGGCAAATCTTCCTAAAGTGGCCCAAGTGGCCACATCTCTTTATATAAATATTAATTAAAATGAATGAAGGCAGTTACTGTTACATAGTAGTTTCCCTCCTCTTTGAAACAGTTGTTGTTGAATTTGCAAATGTATGAAAGCAATCCTCACAATATTATATATGCAAGGCTAAAAAGATTTAAGAAAAATTATTAAAATGTTAAAACCAAACGTTTTCGGCTGTTTGCCATCATTAGGGTGATGATGGCACCCTGATGATGGCAAACAGCCGAAAACGTTTGGTTTTAACATTTTAATAATTTTTCTTAATCTTTTTAGCCTTGCATATAATTATATCTTTTATTATGCGAACATTATGGACAATCCTCACAATAATAAACCCTTCTTAAGTAGGCCTGAAAAAGATTCAGGCCTGTACGGGATTTGAACCCATGACCTCTGCGATACCAGTGCAGTGCTCTACCAACTTAGCTACAATTAACTGAGCCATAGAAGGGATATAAATCAATGAAGTTGAATATATGAAAATCATATATAATCACCATTATAATGACTGGTATTGCAGAGGTCATGGGTTCAAATATGGTATGGGCCTGAATTTCTTTTAGGCCATATATTTCCACTACTATATATTAAGTAGGGTGTATTACTGTGAGGATTGCTTTCATACATTTCATGAAACCACAGTACACATATATGATTTTCATTTATTCAAATTCATTGATTAGCAATAACTGGTTGAAGGACAATATAGCTTCCATGAAGAGACGGCCAGGGCATTGATTCAAACACTGTTGTAAAGGAAACGTGTTTTAACTTATAGGCTGGAAAGGGAATGCTGCGGTCAATGATTGGAGATTTGAATGCCATTGCAGATATAATCCCTGTGGACTACTCAGCCAATATGTTGCTTGCTATTGCTTGGCACAGAGTTGCAAAAAGGTAGTTTAATTTCTCATTTTTTGTAGAGAAATATAAATTGGGGGAGTTAATGTTCCTTTATTGCAGTGAAACTTGATTTAAGTCAGGAATTTGTTTCCCCCAGTCACTGTAATTTTCACAACTATTTAGTGGTCACCTCTATGAACCCATTCTCACCCAACAAAGATCTCTTTAGTGATTCTCCCTACGGTCTGTCATACAGCTGTTATGATGTTAGTTTGAAGAATTTTGTATTGGGTCAACCTCAAATCCCTTAATTGATGTTTGTCTTTATTCTCATCACTTGTCTGCTTGATATTGTATTGATGTTCTAAGGAGAAACTCTGCCTTGGTCACTCGTGGGAGTTGAAGGCTTAAGCAGTTGCAGTCACCCTTAACTGTGTCCAAATGGCCTTTTTGTATCATCTTCCACCTGTAGCAAAACTGCTCAAATAAAACTAAGAATAATCTTTCGAGTTATATTTAATTTGTTTCTCTCCCAAAAATCAAAGTAAGTATTTTGGAACAAGATTGTGTACATTAAGTGGTCAGTTGTGGCATTACGTGGCACTGTATATCATTTTTTTACAATACTCCTAATCTGTGGAATCTGTGTTAGGTGGTCAACCTGTATTAAGTGGTCACCCCATCATTCCCCATGGGTGACCACTATTAAGAAAACTTTTAGTGCCTTTTAGCTTTCTTTTGAAGATTACTCTGACTTGATTTACTGAGGACTTACTGGACACTACCAAGTCCAGTTTCCCTGGCTAAGCCGGGTTCAAACATATACCCATCAAGAAGCATTTAGTCGAAGCATCCCAGATTTAGGGACATGTGCAGTAATATTGAAACACTGTAAACTGCCCTCAGTGGAATTGTTTCTTACTGTTTTGTAATTTTCTCGTTTCCTTGTAGTCATTCAAGTATTCCAGTCTAGCATCTAACCACAGGCTTGTTAAATGGATGCACATGGGGCAATTTGTGTTAGTTTATTTCAATCATTCTCTAATTTGAATCTGCATTGCTTGAATATTGTGAAGTCATTTTAATTCACAAATCAAATTACTCATTTTCATAGCCTTGCTATTTGTGACCTGTTGTCTACTCCTGGCCACAATTTTCATACAATACAGTCATTTAAATTATATTTACTGACAGGTACCATGATTAGCAAGCATTTTGAGAATTATCCTTTCGAAGGAGTGTTCAGGAGACCAAACTTTGCTTTTGAGCAAAGAAAGTAAGTTAAAATTTATCATTTAGAAAAATAGCCATTGATTTATTGTTTGATTATTATTACATTCAACAGGGTTCGTATGCATCTTGAAAACCCTTGAAAACCCTTGAATTTCAGGAGGCAGATTTCAAGGCCTTGAAAGTACTTGAATTTCGTTTTGGGTCCTTGAAAGTCCTTGATTTTTTATTGAACAACATCGAAAAATATCTGCTTTTGTTTTGCACCATCGGTAAACCCAAAACAGAGATGTTAACAGAAACATTTTTCTTGGTGTTGAGGAAAATTTTTCATTACAAAAAGTCTTTGAAATTTCTGAGTAAGGTCCTGGCAAGTCCTTGAAAAGTCCTTGAATCTTTGGCCTGAAAAAGTGTACGAACCCTGATTCAATTTTGTCTTCGCGGGTTTGTTAGTCATTGCAGTCTTGTTTGGATGGGTGAGTGGTCATATAGGGGGAACCCACTGGTAAACTGACAGACAAACAGAAGGATGCTAACAGACTATTAGACTATCTAGTTGATGAATAGATCACTAGAATGATGCGATTCATTAATTGACTGATTTGTTGGAAGGTTGACAGCTTGATTGATTGACCAACTGACTTAATGATTGATGAGTTAAATTTTTATGGATTGATTGATTGATTCATTCATTCATTCATTCATTCATTCAAATTTGTAGATTGATCCATTACTACTGGTGCTACATTGGTCACAAAATCCCTGCCTTCATTGCTGACATGGGGTCTTTTTGTTCTGGGCAGAGACCAAGGTGAGGGAGTTTAAGGGTTTTACCCAAGTTTTTCTGCATGTATTTGGGGTCATCAAAGACAAAGGTACTCTAATCAAAACTATCTCCTGAATGACTTTTCATCAGTTTTGGACATGAATCTCTAGAATTCAACAATATTACATTTTGGAGTAAGAAAAATTAATTTTGCCAAACGAGCTGGTTTCAATGGCTCCCAAGTTAAAAAAAGTGGCACTTTTGTGATCAGCTTGTAGAGAGAATGTAATAAAGGGGCCGGCCCATTGCTTGTATAAAACCACGTTTTGGGTTAGACCATGTGTAAAGAACCAGCCCGAAATGTTTTGATCTCAACAGAATGAATAAGTTGTATGGCAAGTTGGACAGGGCAACCAAGAGCTTAATCTTCTTCACTTCCAGAGGATGGGAGGTAGAATTGTTGGACTTCATTATGAGATTTTTTTTTTTACAGTATTTTCCTTAAATCCATAGTTGGATTTATAACAACAAATGATATAATGTGGACTCAGGAACTTATTCTTATTAAGATGAGTTAGGTGGCTGTCCTGCATGGGAAGAACGGGACGACACGAGTGATGGTCCAAAAAATAAAATACCTTCACAGTGATCAACACAGCAGTTAAAAAAACCTAACCCATCCTAGAGGGAGGAGGGAGAAAGAAAAAATTGCAGAGGGTGTTGGTCCCCGTCGGATCACTCCTGATTCGCAGCAAAATATGGCAGCTGACTGACATTTTTGCAAGGTTATTTTGTCCAAATTAACCTTGTCCCTTCCCAAATTAACCTTGTCCCTTCCCAGCCTTCTCAACAATCCATCAAGTTTTACGCAAGCACTCAGTTTTATTCCTGGGGGAAGAGGCACTCTGAGAGTATGTATATCCCAGGAACATATCAGTTATGACCAGGGATTTAATCCGTACCAGACTCTCCTGTTCTAACCATCACGCCACTGTGTATCCCGCCCAAATGACATTTAGTCTTGTGAAATGCTGGTCTGTCGAGCGCGAACGAAGGGTAAGCAACAGTGTAGCAGTACAAGCGGCTTGTTGAATTTAAACTCGTGTTATTTATTTATAGTTTTCAATGGATAACTATCATGGATTGATCCAGGATATGAGTCCTCAGGACAGAGAGGTTAGTAAACTTTTTCCTTGCGCAATTTGGTTCGCGCGATCCAAAATTTTGACACTAAGGCTTGTAGATACATGACGTTCAAATTTTAAGAACTCGTTTAGGGATGAAGCATTGCGTGCTAATACGGGAAGAGACAAATAAGTTACCGTTTTCAGCCGCTTGTGGGATATATGTTGTAATGTAAACTATAAAGCCGTTAGGTTTTGTACTTAAAAAGGGTTATTTCTTAATACATTTTCAATTTGTAATGTGGTGAGGTAGAAAAATGCCAACCAGGGAAAATTATCAGAGTTCACACAGAATTCTCATTTCTAAAATGAAGAGAAGTGTTTGGCAGACAGTGTGGAGAAGTGATATTTAGATCCTGGGAGATAATGTTTTAAAAGACCAGGCAGATTTAAGATTTTTGATTGCCTATTGTACTTTGCATGCTGGCGAGTTTTACTCTGGGTCTTTCCTGGAGCTGGCACCTTCATTATCACACTTTTTTTTTTTCTTAAGGTGATACTTTTTAGCAGTCTATTTTAACACTCTCCTTGATCTTCCTGTGTTCTCAGACTTTCAACTTTGACGTTCAGAAGTTGGATTGGAACAATTATTTTTTACACTTTATTCTCGGTCTGAAGAAGTTTGTTCTCAAAGAAGACATGGCCAATCTTCCTGTTGCTCAAAGCCGCATTCGTAGGTAAGGCTCTTAAAGGAGCACTCGATGAAACCGCCCTATAATTTGAAAACCCGAAAAATTAAGTTATTTCATAATATGAATTTTTAGTGATTAATAAC